TCTGCCTTTTCATTTTGTCTTATCTTTCCGTGAATGTGGTTTTTATTCCACAGGCTGCAGGATTGCAGTTCTTCTTGCTTCTGTTCAAGCCTACATTTCTTTTTACACATACAGTTTTCTCAAGAAAATATTCCCATTAAGTACACAAAGCAATGTGAGTGGCAAGTTATGAACCTGATATTTAAGTAACTGGGAAAATTAAATCATATTGCAAAATCCTCATGCTACAATTATAGGGAAATAAGGATTATACCAAATATTTCCTTCTTTATCCATTCCAAAATAACTAAACTCAAAGGGAATTAAAAGCATTTACCCTCCACTAAACAGAGCCTGGCATAATTTAAAGAAGCAGAGGGAGACAGGGATGTAAGCTGAGGTCCATTAGGCTATAGTTTGATCGCAGCTGAGTCCCTGTGCTTTGGGCAAGTTGCATAACCTAGGCCTTTAATCATCTATAATATGGGGTTAATAATAGTAACTACCTCATTAGCGTTTTTGTGTGGATTAAATGAGCTAATACATGCAAAGTATTTAGCTCAGTGTCTGCCGGAGTGTGTGCAATCAATTGTTATTATTATCTATTCTTATTCTTTTGTTTCCTTGCCTGTAAAGAATGAGCTGGAGGCATTCCGATCCTCTTAAGGCAAGACTTTTCACAAAAGCAATGAAAAAAAAAATTATGGATGACAAAACTCACTGACAAGTGAAGAGATACACTGAGCAACTCAAATAATGATATGTAAGGGTGGCGGCAGGTCCGTGCAAGATTTAGAACAGATAGAACACCCTCAGAATAAGAGCAGAGGTTGTGATTTCCCCACACAGCATGTGCGTTTGTGTCTCTGTGTATGTCTGTATAACCAGAAAAATTATTTTCTACTAACCACAGCTAACTCTCTGACAATAAATGACAACTTTGACAAGCTTGCATCACCAAAGAGGCAGCAAGACTCCAGCAATACTAGTTCTGGGTCCAAGAGTCTGAGAAATTTCCCCTGATGGAACAAATTATGATCAGATTGACATGGGCAAACAATGCAAAATGCCAGTGTTGAGCCAGCAAAGTGATTTCCTAGGCAGAGGCCTCATTGAGTGAAGAAGCATATGACATCTCTATACTCTAGAGTCTTTCCAATGCTTGGATCAACATCTAGGCTTTCAAGCAAAATTTTCTCTAGCTGTGTTTTCTTGATGGGGCAGGGAGGGCATCAGACATTCTAATTCCCAAATTTGTCTGCAGCTTCTTTATGGGAATGTTGCCGAAGGATAAATTATCAGGCAAATGGTTATGCTGAGTGATCTCTAAGATTGTCTAATTTTGATATTCTCCAGGAAATTGTAGTTTCATCTTATGAATCTCAGCAATGGTCTCTCGTTTGGAGACAGAATTTGTCTTCATGCTCTGTGCAATTCTGCTTGTCACCAGGAAGCAGGATGGTGCAGTAAAAGGAGCACAAGGAGGGAAAGCTGATCTGGATTCAAATCCTGGTTCTGCCGTATCCATTTCCTCATATGTAAAATAATATCCATCCAGCAGTGAGGCTCTGAGGATTCAAGATCATCTCTATACACTCACTGAGTGCTGACGATTGCTATGATTTTTCGCCTAGCCTCTTTTCCCCATCTCTGCATCAGCTTCTTTCTTATCTCTTCTTGCAAGATTCTTTTTAATGGCAGTATTTATCAAACAGACAGTGTACAGCAGTGGTTGTTACAATGTGCTTTGAAGGGAAACTGCCTGGTTCTACTACTGATTAACATTTTAACTTTGGACTCATTTTTTAACTTCTTGTGCCTCAATTCTCTTATGTAGAAAATAAGGAGAATAACAGAAACTACTTCAAAGGATTGCAACAGGATGAAATGTGTGCCACGTGCAGAGCTTTTATAGTGTGAGCTATTATTATTTTTTATTAGTATTTAGAAATTGTCTAACACTGGATCAGTATAAAGTCATCAACCAGTCACGTAGGAGGGAGGGATGAGACCTGGGAGACAAAGCATCAGAGAAAGAGAAAAGTGAAAACCTATTTACTCCACATCATGCCCAGCCTGAGTGGCAAGGAGCAGAGGACAGGAAGCTCTCTCTCAGAGCTCATGGGGCTTCAGTTTCCTCAGTGTGATCTCCTTGAGGCAAGGGATCATGCTTTGTTTGTGCGGGTACCCTTAATGACTGGCCCAAAGAAACACTCAAGAAAAATCGTTGGAATAAATAAATGGAAGACAATATAGAACTTTGAGTTATTGCCAGGCTGTCAAGCCTTCCGACTTATTTGGCAACCTGGACAGTTTACAAACTGGTAACACACAAGGTAACCTAAAGCCATTTACAACTTGTCAACAGGGGACCCGGAACTACATCTGCCTGCTCCAGGTGATTTGTAGTACACTCTTCAGGGCCATTAAAATACCTGGAAAGGCCTGAGCAAACAGGACCTCTGATCAACTTTATAAAGCATATGCTCCTGGGCACAGTTCAACACAAGTAGCCCAGTCCCCTTGCAGCAAGAATCCTTGTAGATCATCTTTCTGGCAGCAGAGTGCCCTCCCCAAAGGTGGGACTGTTATCCATGTGGCCTCTCAAAATCCATTTCCCTACTGTGATACATTCAGTGACCTCCTCCAGTGTGAAAATGGTATCCTTGTGGCTCAAAAGCGTTTTCTCCCCCCCACCCCCCACTCCCTGTTCAACATGAGTCGTCTGTTTCTTCTTGCCAGTAGGACACTTCCCGTGTTCATTCCCAAAACTTCCCTGTAAAGAAGGCAGTAGGGTATAAAAATAAACCCTTCAGAAGCAGAAATGGCTCACTGGGTAGCTTCCTGGCTGCTCTCAAGTCCTGTTCTAATACTAGCCCACCAACTAGCCGTCAAGTAGAGAGCTGTTTAGAATGTCAGCTCTGAAATTAGACTAAGTCCATACCCTTGCTCCAGACTCACCAGCTGTGTTACCCAGGGCAAATTTCTTAACCTCTCAATGTTTCCATTTTCTCTCTGTAAAATGGGGTTAAGAACGGTACCTATCTCATAGCATTTAGTGAGGATTTAATACGTTAATTCAAGCAAAGCATTTTGAAGAGTATCTGGTTCGTGATAAGAACACAATAAAAATTGCCTAGGGTTTTTATTTCTGAGGCCACTGTGAATTCAAAGCGTTGAATGCACATGTGAATGAATGACAAGTGGAGCCAAATTACTTGCAGGACTGAGAGTGAAAATGTATGAGGGCCGTAGCACTCAGCCCACTCTTAGTTCCTTCTTTCTGATCTGGTTATACACTACTGTCAGTAGCCAGTTTTGAGAAGGAAATTCTTCTTTTTTTACACTCAACGAAATATCAGTCCCCAAACGAGTCTGAAGTGAATGAAAATATTCCATTTTCATTCACCTTTAACTCTGAATCACTGTCTGTTTCACCTAACGGGAGAGGTTGATTCTTTTAAGTAGGATTTAGAAAGAGACAGGACGTAAGTACTGTGACAGTTTAATTCTTGTTTTAAAGTGTGTCCTTAGATCATGTGCCCTTGCTTTCTTGCCTTGGCACCCAGGAATCCACTGGCATGGAGCTGTGCTCTTAGTGGAGAGCGCTGAGCTCTCAGTATGCGAGTGTGGCTTGGGCCGCCTTCCCCTCTTGTTTTCAATTGAAAATGAAGTAAATTTCTGGAAACCCTCACCACGTATTGACATCTGTGAATGGAGACAGGAAAAAAAAGATAGTATAATCATCTCCCGCCGAGTACAGTAAACTGATCTGAGATTTTTCAGGAGAGAGCTAGGATTACGGTTTATAACTTTGTCTAGGTCCTTCTGATTTTACATTTTTCCTACTTAGAAGAGAACTGGCAGGCGTGTTTGACCATTAATGATGGATTCAAAAGCATTTGGTACCTGCTGTCATTTGTGTTTCTGAAACACGTTGGTGGAAGAAGTGAGCCATCTGCATTTTCCCGAGGTTCTGCTGCCATGCGCACCAAGGGACAAGGATAAGAGGAAGCTGATGGCTGAAACATCTGCTGAAAGTGTCCGACAGCAGTGTTGGATGGAGAGGAGCATGGAAATTCCTACTAATGTTTTCCACAGAGACAATCTGATACATTCACTTTGTTCAGGCCATGAGGAGGTGCAGGGGAGATGAATGAGGTTCTTTCTGTGCAGGTCTTTTCCCTGGCAAAGAAGCCCACCATCAAAGAATAGTGTGGCTCCCTCTATCCGGAGTGGTTTGGCAGACACATTTTGTAACCAGTGATGGTGCCAGCTGTTTGTAGCAGCCTCTGCCACAGCAAATCAACTGTGATATTAAAAAGAAAAACAGCCTGGCAATGTGGAAATTATCCCATCCAGCAGTGTTTCCCCAAACAAGAGGCTTGATTTTGCTGCCCAAGTGAGAGTGACAGAACTGATTAATCCTTTATTCCCCGTGTCATTCTCCTCCATCAGATTTTGGTTGTCTATTTGTTAATCTTTTATATAAAAAGGCAACATTGTGACTATTTAAATAGCCCAAGGAAAGTGAAGATTTGGCAAATTGCACAGTAAAATTAAGCCAGCCAAATGAAGAAGCAAAGAAATCGGGTCATGCAAGGTAAAGAAATCTATTGTCCCCTGAACTTTCTGAATTGGCTCTATCTATGATGAAACCACTTTCTTTTCTGCTATAGTAACTCACATAGCCATCTAGATTATTTAATCTGTGCAGACAGCTGGTCCATATACTCTTAGACCCAATATAGATTTTTTTTTTTGGCAATCTGAATAATTTACAAGGCTGAAATTAACAGGAAATGTCCAGCTCTTTCTTCATTTTGTGCCAGTTCACCCCCGTGAGCAGCATCAGGAAGAACAGGGACAAGGAAGAGGTTTGCGCCTTTAGTCGTTGAGCAGTTCAGCTAGCCAGGTGCAGAGCAGTGTCAGATGGGATAGCTTCATGTGTCCAGCCCTTGGTGCCCAGATACTGTAGAAGCTCAATAAGCATATGTTTTCTTTCTCCTTTGACTCCACAGAGTTGTAGAGGTGCAAGCTCTTCACTTACGAAGCCGAGGCCCATGCCTCAGGAACCAGCAAAAGACCAGGAGCTAATGGAATCCAAGAAGAGGCCAGTCCACCCAGTGATCATTGGGCTCTCGATCTCTTCACCAAACTTTGTAAGTAAGAGAGTCACAGCTAGTACCATGCTACTCTATCAAACAACTAATTGTACAGCCTTGGGTACCAACAAGCTGAGAGCTTCTGGGTTGGTGAACACATCACCATGCTAGGAGGGTGGCATGCCTGGAGAGGGCCTGGGAGCTCTGCATCCCGCCCCCATCTCTTCCATTTGGTTGATCCTGAGTTCTATCCACCCACCCCATACCTTGCCTTATGCAGCTCTTTCATTTGGCTGTTTCTGAGTTGTGTCCTTTATGATAAAAATGGCAAGTGTAAGTTAAATGTTTTTCTGAGTTCTGTGAGCCATTCTAGTGAATTATCAAATCTTAGGGGGGTCATGGGAACCTTCAAATTTGTAGGCAGCCAAGCAGAATGCAGGTAGCCTGGGGACTCTATTTGTGGCCGAAGTCTAAAGGAGTCTTGTGGACTAAGCCCTTAACCTGTGGGGTTTGCTAATTCTGAGTAGTGTCAGAATTAAATTGAATTGTAGGACTACAGTGTACCTATATAACTAGCTGTAAGTGGATAAACATACTCCTCAATATCCTTGCCAGCCAATACCGAGTGAGGTAATTTGCAGCTTAACATTTTTCTAAGGTGAAATTTAGGGAAATAGGCTACGTATCTTTTGATCATTGTGCTGAGTGTGAGGAAACACAAGGAGAAATTTCCATTTCAGTTTCCGCATCTATAAAATGAGCATCATATTGGTGCCTACCTCAGGAGGCTGATGTAGAATTAAATACAATACTACAAGTAAGGTGCTCAGTACAGTGTCTGGCGCAAGAAGCACTCAGTAAACAATAATGATGACTACCATTTGTTGAGCACTTACTATATGCCAGACACTCTCGGAACTTTACAAACATAGATTGAAGGGCGTATGACAATCTTATGAAGCAGATATTGTTATACCTATTAAACAATAAGGAGAAGAACAAATGCTAATTAAAGGTTAGATGACCTGGTAATTTCTTCTGATACGATCAACAATCAGTTAATAGACAGTTGTTGGGCACAGTGCTTATTGGATGTGGGTTCTGGACACCCTGCGATGTAATCTCAGCTTTCCTACTTAGCAGCAGGCGACCTTGGGCAAATAACTTAATGTCACTGAGCCTCAATTGTATTTTCTGGAAAATGGGGCTAATAATCATAGCTAATAGGGTTGTTGTGAGGCTAATTTGACAATGTAAATGAAGCACATTTGGCCTGTAAGGAGCTGGTAATACCCCAGTTCAAAACATGCTGCTTGTTTTGAATCCCCGGCCACTCCACTTACTAACTGGGTGACCTTGGGCAAGTCACTTAACCTCTCAGGCCTGGCCATGGTGAAGATTGAAGAGCTTAAAGTACATAAAGTGCTTATTTGGTAAGTGTTCAATACATAAATAAGCGTGTTTATAGACATGAGTTTTTATAATTGACAGGGTCAAGCAGGAAACAGTATCAGACTGAGATCACAGGCAGGAAAGTCTCTAAGGGTTTTAAGGAGGCAGAGGCTGGGCACTGAGCAAGTCTGAGTGGAGCCTCAAATTCAGTTCAATGCAACATTTAGTATGGCAGGCTCCGTACTGGGTTCCAGGAATTTACACATGAATATGGGCAGTCCCAGCTGTCTGAGGGAGCAATCTGTCTGGTGGGATAGATGGGTTAGGAAGCATCAAACTATGAAAATGTCCTGGGTATTACACTAGAGAAAGGCAAACAAAAAGGAGAAGCCAAGTAAGAAAGATGGGAGCAGTGGCCTGTGCCTGAGGGAATGGCATGAGGCTCAGAGGAAGCAAAGGAGAAAACTGGGTAAAGATGCTGGTTATCGATCTGCTAAGCCACCATGCTGTCTTGAAAGAACCCAGAGACCTGCAGACATGAAAGATGACACTGTAAAAAGCTTGAGGGTTGTTTGGAAGGGGCTTTGATCAGATCATTGATATCATGTTCTTCCCTTTTGTCAACTGTAACTGCAGTGTCCCAGGTATTCCTTGTTTTCTGACATTTAACTTAGCTAGGGTTGTCTGAATTCCAAGCTGAGAACTTCCAGCTCTGTTCTGTACTTCTGTATTAGGGAAGACTTTTTTTGGCAAATGGCAGAACCCTACTCAAACTACATTAAGCAAAAAAGGGAATTTATTGTCCCACTTAATGGGAAATCCGAGGATGTTTCTAGTTTAAGGGAGATCTAGGGCCTCCAGCTAGACAACCACATGCTCACCCTCCCTCCTCATTGTTCAGTTCAGCTTTTCTCCCTGTTGGCTTTGTTCTCAAGCAGTCTCTTCAGATTAGCAACCCCTCTGAAGAGAGTTACTTTTTTGCCAGTAGTTCCTGCAGAAGTTGCCAGGATATTTTCATTGCCTTGGCTTGGGCACATGACCATTGACTAGGGGGGTGGAGTGTTCTGACTGGTCATGTCTGGCTGGGCATAGCCTGAAAGCCATTGGGTAAGATCCATGATACTCAAACTGAATGAACTGAGAGTTGCGAAGAGGTGGTTCCACAAAAAAACGATGAGCCAAGAAAAACTTTTATCCACTACAGTGCTTTCTAAAGGAAGAAGGAAGTAAGGAGAAGAAGGTAAGGAGATAGAAGGGGAAAGGGGTTATTTCTGCAAAACCAGTATTTCCAGATCAATCGACTCAATCGTGGATCTGCAGTCGCTCTCATTATGGATTGAACTCTTTTGACTTTTAAAGCTGTTTCATTCCCCATTTTTTAGAATTCCAAGCCTTTTATTACATTCTTATATTGCCTCTTGTTCTTGATTTTCATAGACAGTTTTATAATGATACAATGAAAAAATACTTTGGAGAAAAATATTTTAGGAAGAGGTTTCCTCTGTACCTAGAACAGCAGGGGCTGTGTGTGATTTGGACTCTTCAGTGTACTGCTTTTGGTTCTTAAAGCTGCACCAATTTGGAACTCTTGGGATATTTCTACCGAACGGTAACAGCAGTGGATTATTCAGATGTTGAGCACTGGGGTCTCTGACCTGGAGTTTGATCTCTCTCTCTGTCTCTCTCTCTCTCTCTCTCTCTCTCTGTCTCTCTCTTTGCCACTGAATACCGATGTGACAGTATGTTTACCTAGAAGCAAAGATCGTTCTCTTAACCAGACCCAAAGATCCTGGGACACATGGACTTTTTGTCCAGAATATTTGGACATGTTTTCAGTTTTTCTCCATGTGCCCAACCTTTTCTCCTTTTTATTTTACTTGTTAACAGTTGACTTTGATTTTTCAACCAGCTCACTTGTTCCAAAGAAGGGTGCTAGGCACCATGGAAAGCCTTAAAAGTAGAAATGTACAGCACAGCTTAACCTTTTTTTCCCCACTTACCCTCCCATTGTAGTTGTTATTTAAAATAGCTTCAACCCCAAGACTGGAACCCCTTAGCTGTCACCGTAGCTGCCTCCACTCTCCTTGCATGTTTGATGGTATGAATTTAATGTGCCATCAATTCCCAAAGCCCTGTTTTCCTGCCCATTCAAGACCTCTCCCCCACTATCCTAAACCTCAAAGAGTTCATATTTAGTAATCGAAGGAGCTAAGAACCTTCCCATGTGAATCTACAAAGGGAGAGATCTACAACCCCAAAGCCTCAAAGCCATAGGCTTAACCAGTAGGGCTGCCCCCAGAAATCTCACTTGGATGTAAGGTAACCTCTATAAATTATGCAGCTCCTTTCCACTTATAGGGAAGACTTCTGGTGTCTGTCCTGTGGTCACACATGGCCCTGGCTGACTTACGCATGTGAATTCATTTCCTGTATGAGCACTGTGTTGAATAAGCACTGTAGGCGGTTGTGGCCAAAATTTATTTCTCCTGAATTTCTTTACTGCAGTTCTTCACTCAGAAAAGTGGTTGCAGGCAAAGAGAAGCTGAACTGAAGTAACAACTCCAGGACAAACCCCACCAGACAGTGTTTTGACAGCTTAAGAGCTGCCATGGAGTCCGTCATGTGGTCAGGCTTCTCATGGGTTGTCTAGATGCCTGGCCATCCAAGCTGCCATTTTTCACTGATTCATGGTCAATTCTGAAGGTCTTTATTTATAACCCAAAGAAACTTTCACACACACACACACACACACACACACACACACACACACACACCAGAAAGAAGAGGGAAACCTTTCAAGGAATTTTTATAAATAATGTTCCTTAATGGACATGGTGCTTCCCACAGTTCCCCAGGCTCTGTCTAAATGGTTTAATATTTTCACCTGGTCATCAGATTTCCTACATAAAGAGAGGAGAGCTCAAACATCTTATTTGAGAAAGACTCTGCAGCTGTGCAAATAGTTTGCCTGAACATTAATCCATCTGTCAGGTGAGATTTCTTCAAATAGCAAGAATTCCAAGTGCGGTGGATTAGTGTCTAAGCTATAAGAGTTCTCAGCTATGCAAAAGCTGAGTTATCGTGAAATCCATTCAGGATCCTCTGGGTATTGGGATTCTGAGTTTTCATGGGAACCAATGGACATTCCTCTCTGTCACTTGGCCCAAGAGTTTCAGTATCGTATTTAATTCTGACCCACTCCGTGAAGGGTCCCTTAATGATTCTATGCATCTTTCATTTATTCAAAAACATCAGGTGCATGTTGTGTGCCAGCCACAGTGCTGAGAGCTAAGGAAACAAAGATGAAGAATACCTCCCTTCAAGGAACTTGCAGTTTAAGTGAAAGACGGGTATTACAACACAGTATGATAGTGCTTCGCAAATCAAGATAAAGTAATACCCCAAAATGGGAGTGGGATCAACTTTGAACAGGGAGGTGTGTTTCAGGAAGGCTTCTCAGAAGAGAAGATACCTGAGCCTGGGATTTGAGGAACAAGTAGGAATGGTGAGGGTCAGGAATTCTAGACAGAGGGACCACCATGTGCAAAGTCATTGAGATATAAAAGAAGTGTGAAAAGGGAGCTCCAAGTGGCTGGAGAGGACCTAGTACAGGGAGCACAGGGCAAGCTTGATAGGAGGCAAAACATGTAGGGCCTCTGAATCAT